TATGACATATATCAGAAAAACTCAAGACTTTTCTTTTTAAAAAAGACTGATTGTGTTACAAACATAATTCCACTTAAAATACCAATGAGATGCTCTAAAAGTTTCATTTTCCCTTTTTTTCTATGGAACTACCATTAAACATCAGTCACATCCACCACAGCCAGAAAGAGCACATTATCAGTGTACACAAACTGCATTTCTGTATGAGCAGAATGGAGGTTACAGGAAGGTGATTCACATCGAAATGAGCCCAACAGAGAACATTCTAACAGCCCATTTGGGCAGGCTAAGTAAAGAATCAATTTAAAACTATGCAACCATCTACATGGCTAATTTGGAAATGGAAATGCCTGGCTTTTAAGACAGGTATGCCACTATTCCTGTCATTTAAATAGAAATGCCAGAGCAGGGGATGGGATTTTAGATATATTTATCCACTCTTTTTCCCCTTTAACTCCCCTTTGTAATACAGTTGACCATGTTCCTCCCAGTAAAATATACAGCACTGTTTGTGGGATAAAAAATGCTATGCAAATTTTAAAACTAACCTGAAGAAAGTATGCCAATGTTTGCAACACCACGATGGTTTACCAAGCAACCACATAGTGCTAAGTGCTTTCTGTTCTTTTAAGTCCCTCAAAACATAACATATTAAAGACTAAACCTTGGTAGAATAATCTCCCAGTCTGCAGACAACCTTCCTGATTAAAATCATGACACGGTGAAGGGTCCCAAGACACACGGCCCAGGGAACCTGGGGGATGGGAAAGCTCCAGAACAGACCCTGGGTGGAAGGGAACAGTGCTCAGGATTCACTGAACCCCTTTAACAGAGGGTGGGCAGTGCTGGATGAGCTGCTGAATCTCAGGATTACTCCAGCTTCTGCAACCTTGCTTGCACAAGCAGTGAGCTGAAGTTCCTATTTTCCCCTTGGAAAGCCCACACCTCTCTACCTGGTCCCATGCCATGACCATGCCAAAGACTGACCTACAAGGATCATGAAGGTCCACGAGGCAGAGTGGCCATCTCTGCTTTACAGAAATATTCTCCAGACTGAGATTTCTAATCAAATATTAGTTTCGTACGTTAAACTAAAAGTGATATAGAGGTAACTCTCTGTTTGCAGATTTAACACTTACCTTTATTGCAGGTAACGCTGCAGACCTGGACGGATACTTTGCCTTGCAATTACCGTGGTGGATGCTTGAGTAACAACCCACTTAAACTATTTTATACCAGCACTTCGACTTTGCTTTGACAAAGTGTATTCAGCTGGGGTGTGAGTAAAGCAGCCAAGGAGCTGATCACCTGTCTGCTGACTACACCTGCAGCAACCTGAGAAGCAGGCAGCAAAACACGCTGACCTCATACTATTTATCACAGGCACAGCTCCCCTAAAGTCCCCTGTAGTTATTAAAAACCGCCATTTCCCATACTAGTGACTATTTACCATACAGAACAGAACTCTTGCTGGTACTTACAGCTGAATGTTTTCATTACAAAAGCCTTTATACACAAAGTTTCTTTATCAAGTGCATATAAACTGGCAAGAGTTTACACACGTAAAATAAACACTAATAGCCTGTGCTCAATAGTCCTGCTCTCAAAAAAATTACCATAAAAGAACAGTAACGGGGATGTGCAATAAAAACCTGCTCATTTCCCACCTCATCTACTTCTGCAATGCTCCTCTCCAGCTGAACAGGAAGACTACTTTCATTTGTTCTCAAGTAATTGAGAAACATTTCAGCTACTTATCAGCTCCTCAATCTTTCTTCCTTTCACACATTCCTTAGAATTGTTGCCAACAGGGTATTTATAAAAGATTCAGCCTCACAAAAATACTTTGGCTAACAACGTTGCAGGGAAAAAAAAAAAAAAAAAAAAAAAAAAAAAACACACCAGAAAATGAAGGAGCTGCTATGTAGAGAAGATTTACAGGGCTGGATCGTTGTTTACACAGCAAAAAATAATTTAAGTTGTTTAAATAGATGCAAGAGCTGTGTGAGGGAGCACTTCCTACCCCTGGACCAGTAACTCCAGCAGCAGCCACATACCTTTCCTCTGTGGGTGGAAATGTGTGTTTATTTTGGAAGGGGTTTGTGCTCCACATCACAAATGGAAACATTCAGCTCGGGCTGAGGCCTCAGGGCAATACTGAACTGACAACACACCACATACACACACCCACAGGAAACCTCCTTCCTCCTTACTAGTTTCTCTTTCCTGAGGCCTCACCAGAGACTGAACATGCAAGAGCCCCATCTCGGCTTGCAGAGGATCAGAGCTCCGTGTACAAAGCAAACGAGTTCATTAGTACACGGGACACATCTCCACATCTTCCTTTGTGCTAGCCAAATAAATGAAAATCTTACTATTACTCACTAGTAATTAAATTATCAATCTTACTACTGATTAAAAAGGCACCTTGATCACAGCACAGGCTTCCAGCACACCCCCAAAGGGTAAACCCTCCCTCCACATCAACTCCCAAGCTCAGCCCTTCCAACCCACTTCAACAAAGTGTCTTTTCCTTCACAAACACTGCCGAGAGCAACCAAGGAACAGTATAAACACATTGTCTCCAATCCGCCGAAAAACAAACTGAAAAACCCTTCTATTTCCAGTTGTGTGGTTTATTTTCTCCAACTGGTGCAAGCATTTCTCACTGCTATGGCAACCCAGTTGCAGAACTGAACGACAAATGCATAAAATGAAGCAATTTTCTTTTAAGTTACCACAAGCAGCTACATTAAGTCACATTTATATCTCCCCTACCAAAATCTACATTTTGCAAAATGTCCAGTTCCAGCCAGTTTTAATCTCTGATTTAATACCTCCCGCCCACTGGCATGTGGTACCTGCTGCAGTCCACTCAGTGTTACCGTGTCATCCTGTCTTTACAACTAATTTAATTGCTATGTCCCAGATAAAAAATAAATTAGTTAAATTCAACGATAATCCCTGTGGTTGCCTTTTAAGTTGTAGTAGTGCATTTGTCACTCAACCTTGAAATTGTATCCAAATATAGCAGTTGGTGCAGCACTGCAATGAAGTTTACAGCCAACTTTGAATACCTGAGGAAAAAAGGTTCAGTCAACTTTTTCCTCTCTTTAATTTTGTATTAATATTTTCCATATTTCAAGAAATTTCTGTTACCTATCCTAACATCCCTCCTACAGATAAAGGTAAGGAGCTGTACCATAGAGTGGGAAAGCATTCCCACAAAGCAACCTTAAAAGAAAGGAGTAGTTGCCAGACAAAGGAAATTCAAAGAAGGGTCACTTAAAGGACTGTAAATAACCCCTGGCCATTGCCCTGAGAATGAACAGGAGGTTTGGTTTCTCTGCAGGGCAGGTCAACTCCTTCCAAGGACGCTGAGCTACAAAAAGGTGCATCACTGCTTCTGACAGATGAAACAACAAATGCCCAAGCTACCTAATCTCTAAAATAACTACTTTTGTTCACTGTAGTCTTCTTCCCAATTCATGTTTTACAGCAGTAGCGCAGGACGATTAAATACAAGGAGAGTGGACCAAAAATATTTGAAAGAAACAAACTCCCAAACATACCTGAAAAACTGAAGTTATTACCTAAAAACTTAAACTTGGCAGTTTCAAGCAATTAAAAACAAAGCTGTCACAACAGAGACAGAAATAGTAACATCCCAGAGAGGCAAAGCAGAAGGCACTGAGTCTCACTAGTAACAGAAATGAAGAGCCACTGCATTAGCACGTGAAAACAAATGTAGTTACTCTGACAGCAAAAACATCTGCCACTGAATTGTGATATTAAAAAGTCATTATAATCCATTATGGAACAGAGAAATCTTTTCACACAGAAATGAGCTGATACAGAGAACACAACATGCACTAATGCAGAAACAGAAATATTATATTTAGCTAGAAATCGCTCTCATGCATCTTAATTCCAAAGTTTTTTTATGTACTGAAGATTTGGTGGGATTTAGCTACTTCTGCTGCCTTCTGAAAGCAAAATCCACCATTATAAACTGCATGATATCTCACAGGGCAGATGCAACAGAATTCAAACTAAAACTTCCTGAATTCACACATTCTACATAGGAACAACTTGGAAAGGAAAGGATAGAGTTTCAATAAATTACTTGTTACAGTGTCTCCATCACGTAGGCAGGTCTTTATTTTTCTGAATTTAGTATTACTGAGGCAATACTTAATTTCTGCTGTATAAATACATAAAAAGTGTTTGAAACATAAGTTGTTTTGTCAATCCCGTATGTTAGGCTTGGCTCTTCTCTAATTCTTAGTCTTTGGGAAGCTCCACTAGCCTGTCTGTCACCTAATTACCCAGCAATAAATAACAGTGCATATTAACTGGTTCAGAAACGTTCCCCAGCCTGAGTTTTGTGTGCTGCCACATAAACCAAGGGACAGAACAGACAAAAAAATTTCTCCCAGGGCACCTGGGAGCTCAGTGTCCTCAAAGGGGAATCCATTCCTTACCTCTGCTGCTTCCTGGACTGTGCTGCAAACCAGCCCCAGACTCTTCCCAAGCACAAAACCCACCCGAGAAAGAAAAACAGGCAGTGGGGGGAATAGTTTCTGGTAAGGTCAATGAACTGGGTTTGCACACTAAATCGACCTGAATTGTGCATGCAGGGGCAGAGTGGCCTTTAGTTGTCTTTGAAACAGATAAATAACTAACAACTAAATGGAGAACTACATCTGTCCTGAGATCAGAGAAAAGAGAGGACAACTGCTGTCACATTTCACAGAAAATTAATCCATATATTCTAGTCAAAAAGCTGCTATAGGATACACAGCAATCTAAGCAAAAGCTTAGGCTGAGAAACCCAACATATAGTCGGATCCTCCAACAAAACTTTAGGAACAGAACTATCCTAGTAAGATATACTCTCCCCAGTAAACAAACACAAAGAATGAAAAGCATAAGCATTTCTTTTTTAAATAAGCTCATAAAAATACCAAATGGTTCACAAAGAATAAACATTAATTTACCTTTGGTTTTTTGTTCAGCAGCCTGAAAGAAGAAGAGAACAAAACAAATCAACTGTTTGTCAATATTCAAAATTATACTTCATAGTTGTAGGGCTGCAGGCCCAACTTTGTGCTGGAAGTCCTTACATAAATCAGGTATTGGTTCCAGTTAAGAACAGGAGAATGTCAGTTTAACTCCGTTTTTTAGGAATGTAAGAATGACTCTGTTTGATTGATGCCAAAAGCAGATGCCAAAGAGACAGTATAAAGTGTGGCAAGGGATAGGGCACTGACCCCATCTACCCCTCTCGTGTTCTCTCTCTTGAGAAAGAGGTTTTCTGAACCAAGCACTATGTCTATGAACTTTTTAACGCTCAGCAGAATTAACTTGTGTGAACTTGTCCACTATCCCTTTGAATCCACACACACCATTGGCTTCGACACAAAATCTGTTAAGTTTTTATCTGCTTGGAACCTACCCACCTTTTTCTTTTTATGATGCCTTATTTTTATACCAGAAAAGATAATGATCAATTCTTTTCTAAAATAAAAACTAACAGTGTAATCCATCAACACCTGCCTGTTACTCTTAAAGAGTAAAGGGATCATTTACAACAGGAACATGAACAAACCTTTTTCTGAGCACCTTCCTTCTTTTTCTTTTCTTCCTGCTTTTTCTTTTTCTTTTCTTCCATCAAATGCTCCTCTTCTTGTGTTTCTTGTTCTTTCTCCCTGATAAGAACAAAGGTTGGGAAGAGATTTAACCAAGTTTATCTGGAAAGGTAAACAAGCCGTACTTGTATTGCCAACTTTCCACATCTCATGTCTGATAAAAGCTGCTTCTAATGCTGCAATAAAAGTATTAAAAAAAAAAAGCTGTTCCAAAATTGAAACTAACAACAAATAAACCAGTAGGCAATGAAAATTCAGAAAGGATTGTATTTAGAACATCTTTCCATAGCCACTCCTTAATATTAGCCTGTTCTAGGGAAAGTTTAGAACTGAAGAAAAAAGGAATAAACCCAGGTAATTAGTAATTAGTGCAAGTTCTGTTGGCTTTCAACAGCTGTGATTCACAATATACTTTAAAGATCACGAGTGAGTACATTATTTTTGGACTACTTTTCTTTTTTTTGATCAAACACGTGCTGTATTAATTTCTCATGCACATCAATTTTGTTCTCTAGAACTTGTAAACTAAGACCCGGATGAATTCCAATCATCATATTTTGTGTTCATCCTATAAATTCCAGCTGAATAATTTGCATTAATACAAAATAGGACTGTTCCAGTAGCATCTTGATTAAAATTTAACCCGAATTGTCCCAAATCAAGAAGAAAACCTATTTGAAAGCTTCCTATCTCTGCTTTCTATGTCCATCACTGTAATGAATGGTTATAGCAGTGACCCTACCCAATAAATACCAATGCAAATAATTCATTTATTTCTCTATAACTATTTTATCATCCTTGACAGCTCTTCAGGTCCTGATCATTTATCAGCCTTACAGATCTCCTGAGAAGGCTGATTCTGATGGGTTGAAGCCATTACTATCGCTATTATTAGATTCAATGTCTTCCAATTACTCCTCAAGACCACTTTTAGCCTAATTTACTATTGCTTTACATTTAACTTGCCAAAGCCTACAGCCCCTCCTGCTTTTTTTTTTGTTTAGATTTTTTTCTGTTGGTGTTAAGAAAGGTTTTCTTAGTAACAAAATTCTGCTTAATTTTTAAATCACAACAGGTCTGTGTGTGTCTCAGCTCTTTACCTGAAGGACATTCTGCACGTTGTGTTTTCAAACATTTCCCATGAAACATTTTGAATTTAAGTTTCTTTAATTTTCCTTTTAACAAGTTTGCCTATTCCCACACAGTTTAGCTTTTTATAAAGAAGGAACATTGTGATAATTTTTTTTTTTGAGATTTCAGCTGCTGAAGGGTGTTCCGCTTTTTGTCTTTTTTATTTGCCTGAAAATACTCATTTTGGCCACTGAAGATGCTTTAATGCTTACACAGATCCTGCATGGAGCTCCAGACTAAATCAAAAGCAGATTTCCCTTTCCTTGTGTTACCCCAAACAATAAACACTACACTCAGCACTTCACAGGTCTAAACTTAGGTGTTAGTACCCTTTTAGACACTTTACAGCACCCAAACTATGTACAGAAGTGAGAGACATGGGCAAGATCCAGGGTCTGGAATAGCAGCTGGAGGTCAGGCACCCCTGGGAGTGCCTGGAGAACCACTGGAGGTCAGGACATCTGAAATGGCATCAGTTATCTCTGCTTCAAATACTGAATCACTTCCTGTCACGGTCAGAATTTCATCACTTGCACGACGGCTGAGCTTTATTCCGGTTCCAAAGGGGCCACCTTTTAAATCTCCTACTGTAAATCGCGGTTTGAGAAACATTTGCTCACAGGAGTTGCAGGTGGGTGTTTGCAGCACGTGTGAAATTGCACTTAAAGAAAAAAACTGTACTTTTAAATGGCTTCTTCTAGGGCCCTGCAAAAAGTGATGACTTACATTGCCAAAAGAAACTGAGTTGAAACCGTAATAGATTTGCCTTTATTCCTCTAAGCTCCAGAGGAGAACTGAAGTCCCCAGGATCTCAGGAACTACAAAGAAACAACATCCAGTCCCTTCATTTTCAGTGCTCCCCTACCCAAGTCACACCAGACTCTACAAAGCCTGTGTTCCAGTGAACTCTCCCAAACTGTCAGACTATTGCCAGGGGAAGTTCAAGCCTTTGGGTTTTTTTTTTTTAAAGCAGGTGAATGAAACAAGTCAGCGCAAAATGAGAAACTTTTTGGTTTCCTCTTGTTAGTACTTAAGAAAACCCACGGCATTACAGCGATTCCACAACACCACAATTACAGTTAAATCCCCTTCAATACTCAGGGCAGCATTTAAAAATAAAACCAAAGAAGCCCCCACAAAAACAAACCACCACCACTTTGCTTTATATGCAGAGTTTTCCTTAAGCTACAAAAGTATTTATTTTCTTGTTAGGCCTCTTTTTTTAATATCAAGTTCCTTCCACAGAATACCAGGTTGGAAGGGATCTCAAGGATTATCTGGTCCAACCTTTCTCAGCCAAAGCACCGTGTCCAGCCAAACCTTATGTGTCCAACACTGGGGGATCAACTTCCATCACTGCCAAAGTCTCCTTCCTCACACTGGACTCCACTCTGAACTTTGGTTTCCAGGTAATATATCACCTCAGTGGATTTTCCAAATTGAAGAAGAGTATAAACATTTTGCTCCATTAAAAATACAACATGTTTTCTTACCATATTATCACATCAATTACAATATCTGAGGTAGAAGTGCCATTCCGCCCCAAAAACTGGGTTTTGGTTGTGAGGGTTTTTCTCTCCTGATACTAAAAAAGCCTCAGATTAGCTCAGAAAATGATACTATAATTTTTAATGGAGTTCAATTTTCAAAACTGATTTACATAATGACACTTCTGAATACATGTACTTTAAATATGCTTAAAATAGAAATAAAGCTCCAAGCGGCCCCTCAGATGGCAAACTCTTGCTGTCACTGCTAGTCAGAAATTAGTCATCTAAGAACAAAACAAAAGGAAAACAATAAAAACATTGCTATATAAAGTTTGGTTACGTTGTCAGAGGCACGTGCTGCAGCTTTACTTCCTGAGAGACAGTTTAATCTTTATTACAGGAAATAGGCTAAAACATTTATGAACGCAAAGCTCATGTTCTAAACCAGGAGTGTCTCAGAATATCCTTGTAGGAGTTTGCCTTTTTAATATATATATATGGATTGGATGTATCAGAAGCGCGGGGGATTCTCCTGAGCACAGGGTTTTACTACGGAATCAAGTGTTGTTTTCACAGGTTGCAAACAGCTTATTAAATTCAAGCCTAACCCAAGGTTATCTATAAAGTGCATGTGCTTAAGAGCTCTCAGAACAGGAAAACAAGAGGAACTGCAGGTCATGGTGAGAACAACTCGAGGACTGTGGCTCTGCTCTGTCAGTGCCTGTTGGAGAAAGGCTTATTAATCCTTTTAGAACAATAACAAATCTAGGCTGATTTATTTCTTAGGTTAAGTAAGAACTTGAGTTTTCTAGTTGCTATCAGGCATTGGATTGCTTCCACAGCTGGTACTTTGAATTAGAGCCAATGTGACGTTCTGACAGCATTTTGCAGTACACCTGTTGGGATTATCCTGTTCTTGAACAAACTTCAGGTAGAGTTTAGTTGTATTATTACCCATATAGTGTTTTAGAGTTCAAAAGTTCCTGCAGTAATTGAGGACAGAACAGAGAACTGCCTCTCTTGTTCCATGTGACACTGCTCCAAACCCCAACAGCCTAATGAATTTTGTTGTATCTGTAAGATGCTGACAGTTTGTTTAACAACATAGGAAAACTACCTCTTCAGCACAGGATTATTAATCTTGGCCTACAGATGCCTTTGTTTGGTTTAACCCCCCCCCCATCTTAATTCCAGAAAACCTCTTGTACCTTAAATTCACATCCTGCAGGAATAACCTCCCTGGACAGTTGTGAAACTTGCTATTACTGACAGAAATTCTACAAATTGCACACAACTGCTCAAACAGCGTTCTTGTTTTGACTTCCCTCACCATAAAACAGGCCCTCCCGCATTCCTGTGCAGGTGTTTTTCGTAACAGTGAGGATGGGAGAAAAAAGAAATGGAAAAAAAAAAAATCTTCAAACTAGACTTGTAAGGAACTGGCAAATAATCACCCAAAGGCAGCTACCAGTGGAGGCTTTTTGGAAGGAATTAATAAATCCATGCAAGAGGGTCTGGACAGCAGAGACAAGAAACACAAAGTAATCCCAAGTTCTCAAAATCTGGTATCCCACACTTTCAAACAGAGATGAAGAAAACTGCTATTTAGAAAGTTCTTCAGGATGTGATTTTAAATGGTAAAAAAGAAGTGGCCGAGATAACAAAGGGAGAAGACAGCTTGAAAAGGGATGTAAAATCGAAAAAAATAAAAGAGCAGCAAACTCTAGTAAGGCAGGTTTCAATTCATTCAGGACAACTGAAAAATACTGTCCCACAGGAAGAGGCAGGTGCTGTTTCTTGGAAATCACCAAGAATCTAAACAACGCACATCATCACATGTATAGGAAGAATATGATAAAGCAAGAAGTCACAGCAGCAACTGTCCTTGTTTTCATGACTTCTGTAGTGGATAGACTAAAACTCCACATTTTCCTATTGCTGGTTTTGTCTTATCTTTACACGGCCCAGCTCTGTGACCTTTCTAGAGTAAACACTGGTGAAGGCAAGGGGCTGGTGTGATGTTGAAGTGCCAGCTTTGTTCCCTTGATATCTAGGCTCAGTCATTAATCAAGGAGAGTCAAGCTGGTCCCTAATTACAAGCTCTCCAATCACCTCAAAAAGAAAGCGGCATGCAAAACTAGGTCAAATAAATAAGAAGGAATATGAAAAAAAAAAAAAAACCAAACCAGCACAAACACGTGGGGACAAATTGAGGACGGTCAACAAAATATTAGCACTGTGCATATAAAAAGCAACAATAAATCAACCTTTAAGTGCTTCATTAACAAGCAAGAAGAAATATTAGTTTTGATTCTCAGTGGGAAAGGGGGACTAGTGACAGATGACCCTACGAGGGCTAAAGT